CAGACGCACACACACACACACACACACACACACACACACACACGTGTGTGCAAGGCTCAACAGTTGAGCAGTGACGGTAGTTTCATAGAAATGCTGTCATATTAAGGCAAGGATTAGATTCTCTTTAAGCTTCTCTCATCAGGCTGCCTCTTTCCAGGTGGTTAACACAAATATAATCTCCACACTCAGATGCACGCATACAAGCACACAGTGAGCAGCACCCGGAGAGAACCACTGGCAATGAGAGAGTGACTCCACATGCAGCCCTCACAACGACAGGTTTGAAAACGTCTTGTGAAGGGAGGCCAAATTTGCTGGAAAAACAGATCTTAACCACGAACACACACACTCTGTGCTCACACACACAGGGAGGCGCTTTCCACATTGTGCGCTATTCGCAGCGGTAATTAGAGGTGTGACAGCCAGACAGGTTGAGGTGATGATAATGGGCCAAAGCTATTTCTGTTTCTCTCACGTCTGTGACGTCCTCCTCTGTCACTCCCGTTTAGACTTTTCCCTCAGCTGTCAGATACTCAACTCTGGTTAGGGTGGAGCTGAAATGTTGCCGAACATGCCCACAAAAAGCCACGGATGGACAGCAAGTTTGCACACAAGCATGTTTGCATATTTGTCTTCACTCGCCTCCAGTCTTTTTTTTCCCACATTGAAGTGACGCTGGTACTTAGTGCGGAAATGTGAACTTTTTCGCCTGCACAGATACAATACCTGGGAAATATAGACAGTTTGCCACACGGGAACAAAAACAAATAAATAAATAAAAAAAGCACCTGAACACGCACAGACACAAACAAACGCGCATACACATCTACATTACAGATAGTAATGTTGTAATTCCAATGTCCACGTGAGAAAAATGTAAACATGCAGTGATTGGTGAAAATTAACAAAAGCCACTGATTAATTCCACCTCAATCTTGTCACCTAATCTAAATTTTGAGAAATTCTTTTGTCAAAAAGAATAAAAAAAACTTTTGTAACATCCTTCATTGTAATGTTGTAAATAGGTGCTCCTGCAATTATTTACTGTGATGTTCTCCCTCTCAACTCAATTCACTTTGTCATTTGCTGTCTTGCTGAAAAAATATATATTAAAAAAATCACAACAACAATATATAATAAATCTGCCTTCAAAGAACATCTCATTTACTACAATTAAAGGATAATCAGAGAAATGATAACTATTTAAATCCAGTTTCTCTTTATTTCTAGGCTAGGAAAGAGCATGTTATGCTAAAAAGTGTTGTAAAACACAAAACAAGCTTGGACATCTCTAGATATTGTGACTATAACCCTGAAGTGTCCTGTCCGAGAAACATGAAAAACTTTAATTTTTTCATATTCCTTGGAGCAATAAAGACATTAAACACATTTTACAGGTGGCTGCAGGATGTTAGTGGGGATATCTGTAGTTTGATTCCTGGCTCTCGAAAGACATATTGAACTGCCATTTACCATTTTTAACAACACTTTTCTAAACGCTTTATAACACCTTTGACAAAAGACAAAGGGCAATATTACAGATTTCCAGCTCTTGCTGTCCACCTTTAATAATTACAAAATAATGTGTAGGCTATAGGTATTGTGATCCCAGTGCACAAAGTGGAGCTGTATTGAATGAGTCTTAATGAATCCTAAGGGGTATATTGTAGTTTTGCAGTTTTCATAGATAAGGCAAAGGAAGTTAATCCATTAACAATGGCAGATGAGGCTTTTTGCCTCACACACACACACACACACCAAACACCACACAGATAACCCAGGAGGCAGCATGGAACAAAAATAAGCAGCATCAACAAACATCAGCATCAACAATGATCTAAGAAGAGCTTATAGTCCAGGAGTATGAATTTACACCGAGGGGGTGAGAGGGGGAACTGACAACAGGTGAATCTGAGCGGCAACTAAATCCAGCCCTAACACAGGAAAGGAAGCAAAACTCAACATAGTGATACAGACAGCAGTTATACCAGCAGGCAATTAATTTTTCATCGATTGTAACTTGTGATTATGCTTTGAAAAGTGCCTAAAAATACCCAGATTTGGGTAAAACTGCTTACCACACTCCCCACACTGTTAGTTAGCACAAATGCGCTATGAGTATAAAAATACCTGTGTGTGTGTTTTCTCACTTGCCTGTGTGTGAGTGTCCGTGGCATGTTTCACCCTTTAGCATGTGCATCTGACAGTCAGTGTCAGCACTTTTGTCTTCGCATGCAGCTGGAGCTGAAATCTGCCACTTCAGTGTGTGTTCGTGTCTTCATGTGACAATACGAGCGTGTCATCGCAGCAGGTTTCATTGTGTGTGATCCAGATTTAGCATATTTTCTGTCAGACGGAGCTAAATGGTTTTGACCTTGAGGAACTTGCACAGAATAGATTTGGTAGAGCTCTCTGCTCTGCTGGTCTCCTCTCTGTCTCCATCATTTCATACTCATGACATTTTTTACCTCTGTGCTCTTTCTTTTACTGCCAGAGAGAATGGTGCGTCTCTTTCTAGGAATTCTTCCCCTGTGTGTTTGCAATAAACTCATTTCATTCTTATGATCCACTACACTGATTGCCCTGATATTAGGTTTCATCCACTCTTCTTCAACACCAGGGGGAAAAAAATGTTTTAAACTAACAGTTATACAGATGAAAAACCCTGCACTTATGCTACATGTGTATGTTTTAAGCCCTTTGTTACAAACTACTGTAATGCAAATAGAATGTTGAAATAAAAATCTTGCTCATTCAAAAGAAAAGACTACAGTTAAAAAGCATGCACATATGTCAAAACATGTCTACTTCTGTTAAAGATGGGAACATGATCCCTAACAGATCAGAAACACAAATAGCTATCAAGCTAAACCAGGGCTTTAATAGTCAATATCAATATATTTGAATTATTTAGACATAACTTGTGTTTAAGGTTTTTCCATTGCAATACATTTCAGTCCTCTGTTAATTACAATGGAAATTCAACAACCGTCTTTGGTAGTGACTAGTGGACAGACTTAGCCATATTATCAAAACTGCTTACATGAACGATATACATGATTATTGGTGGTAAAAGAGTTGTGTAAAGTACTCTTTTACGGACAATAGTCAGAGTATACTTGGTTGGAACATTTAATGAAGATTCCTTTTTGGCAACCCAAGCAAACTGCTTCTTAAAATAAGGACAAAAGCAAAGCAATTTTTTAGCCAACATGAAACAAGTCTAACTTTGATATTTTCAAATCTACTGTATGATGCTTGCTTAAAAAAAAAACTATGCAAAATTTTTCATTTGGAATTCTGGATCACAAATATGCAAATTACATCACGGTGGAACTAAAACCTTTGTTGGCTCAGCTGATGCAATTTGCTATGAACCTTCTAAGACTTTTAGCTAAACCTCTTCATGCATTTGTTTGATGTGACTCAAAACTTAATATTGCAGCAGAAAAATACTTTGAAAAGTCTGTAGAAAGTCTCCTGATACTACAGATTCATTCAGGGTGCTGCACCATATAACAATTAAATAAAAATCTCCATAATGAGGTATGAGTCATCTAAAAATATTGGACATAAGAGAATTTCCAACAATTACCGTTTGCTTCTGAACAAGCAATAAAATCTTAAAAAACCTAAATTTCTCAGAGTAAAGCAATTGATGCTGCAGCAAAGTTTCACTTGCAGCATTCAAAGTCCCAGTAACAACAATACCTCAAAATCTTCAAATTTTTGACAGGATATGGCCTTCAAGCCAAAGGATGTTGCTAAACCACAGGTTTTAGTCAGATCACGAAATAGTCACAGTGCGCATAAACTTGTAACAGCAAGTGTTCCACAGCAAAGTAAAAACACAAAATAAAGCATTATATTAACATTCTTAGTTTCAGTGTCTCACTGTATTACTGAACTGCAATCTCAAAGAGGGGAAATATGTCAACATAATGTGTTTTTCAATTGGCAGACGTACTGATACAGTACAATAAAAAAAAAGTACCAACAAACGATTTGACTAAAACCTTCAAGAAGGTGGCGTTTCATCAAAAATGAAACATTGCATAAATTCTATCAATCTACGGGAGCTTCTCCAAAGAGAGAAAAACAATAGTGCAGATGTTTTCAACATAAACATTGCTGAAATGACCCAGTTCTACTATATGTATGCATGCCGGATACTCTGGCTTCCTCCCACCGTCCAAAAACGTGCATGTTAGGTCAACTGAACACTCTAAATTGCCCCTGGGAGTGAATATAACTGTGTGTGGTTGCTTGTCTCTGTGTGACCCTGTGACAGACTGGGTGTACCTGGGATAGGCCCCAGCGACCCCACTGGGAATAAGCAGTATAGATAATGGATGGATATATGTATGTATAAATTCACATGTACGACACACACTTAGAAACAGCATCAATATGGTATAAGCTCTTGCAGTTAAGTAACTTATTCTTCAAAAATAATAATTATTATCTTTATATTATTATCTATAATAATAATATTTTTCTCTTAAAACATGGAAATATTTAAAAAATGCATTATCAGCCATCTAGGACACATTGAATCAGACTAGCAGCATCTATACACCACTCGTTGTCTTTCACCACATCTTTGGTTAATAATTACCTATGATGTGGAAAATATTGACTTATGATGAGTCTTCATTCTAATGGAAACCTGCCGTTGTATAAAGGGGTTTGGTTAAAAAGCACACAATTCCCTCTCACATGTAGATAAAACCCTTGTTGGACAAGTAAGGAGAGATGTAGGACCTTGAAAAATTAATTAATCAAAAAATGATTTAGCATAATTTGAATACAATTGCAGTCGATGAAAGTCAAAAGTTTATATTGCATTAGTATCATTAGTTTGAGTGAGTGGTATGGACGCAGTGCTGTTGTCAAAAAGGGAAACCTCAGTTTCTTATCGCATCTTTTTGTGTATGCATTGTCGTTATGAAAACGCACACAGCTAGATATTGGATTGTAGTTTTTTTTAATGCTTCAGACTAAAGGCAGGAGCCCCAGTGTGTGTGCAGGTCAGAGCTATCCAGGAAGTCTGTGGAAAAGACACTATGGGGCGTTTGAGAGCCCAGTGGGTCCAGCATAGGAGTTTCCTCATCCCTTTCTCCAATGGTCAGGTCCAACCAGTCGCTATTGTCCAGCCCTTGCCCTCCCTCTCCCACAATTCCAAAGGTATCTATGGGAGACGGGGGGTGGTCCAGGATGCTAGGCGTGCACAGCAATTGACTGTGGAGGTCGTCGATCAAAGTTATCAGGCCACCGGGCTCCACCCCAAGAAGAGGCTTCCCAGTGGTGCTTTCCAAAAAGTCCTCCAGACGTCCATTTGTAGAGAGACTGAGGTGTTGTTTGTTCCCTGAGGTGGGGACCTGAGGACATGGGTCGGGCTGCGGACAGCCGGAAGACTGGGGTAAACTGCCGCTGGGAGTAATGGGGGAAGGCAGCAAAAGATAGGGTGGTGAGGGCGGAGGAGATGAAACAAAGGAGATTGGGTTGAGATGGTCCTGAGAAGGGTCAAGAGCGGGGCTAAAGGTGGACATTCCTAACAGAAAAAAAAGCACACCTCGTTAAAGACTGTTGTGGTGATGTACAAAAGTGATTTCTATTTCCCAGGTTATGAATGCATTAAACAGCTAATTGAATAAAGCACTTTGGAAAGAAGCCACCTTACCCCCGGCTTGTAGGATGATGTCAATGAAGTCATCTTGATTCTCTGCATCCTGCTAACACACACAGATAAAGCAGCACACCATCCATCAATGTTGCATTAAGGTTCACAGCTTTATGGCTTGGGGTGACATAATACCTATTATCGAGGCTGCTAGAGTAAAATCTAATAAACAATTCCCCAAACTGTAAAACATGAGAATTCCATTTAATCAGCAGCTTTTTTGCTTTAATGGCATAAGCAGACATGGAGTGCATCTTACTCTGTCACTGGCCTGGGAGGCTGAAGCTGGAGACAGAGGACTCAACAAGGCTTCCAGGTCAGCACACATCTCCTGGAAGGGCAAACAGAGGCGTCCAGTCTATTTCCGGCGATGACTTAAGAGATGGTTCGTGCGACTCCCCGGTTACTTACGGTTTGAGTAGGAGTCGAGGAGGTATTCCTCCTGGTGGGAGCAGATCCCTGGTCCCTGAAGAAGGGCTGCAGACCGGGTGGTGCTGACAAACAGAGAGCTGCTCCCTGCTGGGGCTCCACCAAAGCTTCGTTCTGCTTCAACCAAAATAAAGATTAAACTGAAACTATATAGTCAACCAGATGATATTTGGGTTTTCGGTGATCAATTAAGACTGTTTCTGAGATTGAATGGCAACTTTAAGTCACAGAATCTTAAATTATCTCTTGTAAATGTGTATTTTTTCCCCATTTTTTTCAGTGATACAAAATGAGTGTGAATCCAGTTATATAATGTGTAATTTGCACATAAAATATGCTTTGTAAGAATCATTCATATGGAATAAATAGACTGATTTTTTTCTTTAAAAAAAGATGATTAAGATTATTTGTCTACAAATGTATGGAGACTAATTGGAGAGAGCTCCTCCACATGGACAGCAACATGATATCTATGGTCAACACAGCAGTTCCATTTCCTCAGATCACTGAGGAAAAACCATCTGGACATCCAACTGCTGCTGATTTTCTACCAATCCACCACTGTTTTAGTGTACAGTACTCCCTTACATTATCGTGGTTCACTTTTGTATTGTGGTTTTTTCCCACAATTGCAGGATTTTGTGATATAGAAGGATACATAGGTATTTTTATACATTCCCTATCAAAATTAAGAGTTTTCTTGCCTAAAAGTTGGAAATAAAAAATGTAATGTAACTAAAACACATTGAAACAACATTAAATCAAAACTCTTGCTTGCTTACAGTGGATTTCCAGGTATGGAAATCACAGCTACGGCTCCTTGGGCTTGAGCTAGCTTGCCCATGTGAGAATATACATGGCACACCATTAGCTGATGGACGGAAGAAGACCAAGTGCTGCTATGGAATTTTTATATGTTGTAAAATAATAATAATATATGTTGTTAAATAATTATGTAGGTTTAAGAGCTTGGGCCGTGTTTGAGGGTACATGACATGTATATAAGAGTACGGGAAAGGGAACTAACCATGTGGGGAGGGTTTCTAAAGCATTCCAGTGCATTACAGTGTGGTACGCTGGCTTCACAGCAGAAGACAGAAGAGCCCTGAAGGAGGTAATATAGACAGCTTTAAAAATCATTGGCTGCCCCCTGCCCTCACTGGAGGACATTGCCAGGTCTAAGAAATGCTGTCTGACACCCCGGATAGAGACCCTTTAACCTTTTGTGTTCTGGCAGCAAGTTAAGAAGTAAACTGCCTCAAAACCAGCTTCTACACATGAGCTACAAAACTTTTAAATACTTAATTTACAAGCTGCCTAATACTGCAAATAAGTATTGTTTTATATATATATATATTTCTCACTGTCCAGAAGTTGTGCAATTACTTAAAAAATACTTTTTAAAAAACTAGTAAATTAAACAAAACTATACAATCTGAAGCATAAAGGATAAGGAAGAACTGGGTTTCCATCACCGGCTCACAATAGTAAATTTGGACATTTTTAAGCAGCACCGGTAGCCAACAAGAGACACCGTTAACCACTATCAACCAAGTTGCACTGGGGTCTTCGTCCCTCATCTGTTAGGACCATAAATCACTGGAACATTGTCGGACTAATTGGCAGAGTAATCACCATCAGCGTGGCCCTATTGTCAGACACTTATCAGGAGCTGCTGTCACTGCCTCAGACCGCATACATCATTAACTTTCACAGCAATTGGACTCGATGGAGTAGTTCTCTCGCGCTCGCATGTTCTTATGGGGCCTTAGTGGGCTGTTTTGATGCTTCTCCGGAGATAGGGAGTGAGGCTCTGGCGCTCGGCGGTTTGGGTCGGGATAAATGGCCTCTCTGGGAAATGTATAAAGGAATGTTTAAGATCCACGCAGGACGTTTACCAAAAGCTGTTCACTGGATACTTGGAGTGTAATCTGTACTTTTTAAGGCTGGTTTTCTCTACGTGAAATACAAAGCAAAGTTTATGTTTAATGTATTCATTTTCCTTTTTTTTTGCCTTTAAAGTGCTAAAGAGGTATTACAACTAGAATTACTGACTCAGCCATTTTGTTAATGCTCTCCAGCAGCTAAATTTAACCGTGACCACCTCCCGTGTTTCCAGCAAAGCTACCACTGCTGCTTTCAAATGGACTGCGAAATCAGATTAAAGAGGAAAACCAAAAATCAAACCTTTGAGTTTAGCCGTTTTAAAACTCCCACATGCTGTTTGCTTCCGCTATCTGCTCCGGTAACCTGAACAGGATAGAGGCTGGGGAGCTTGGATGGGGTAGAATGGAGTCTCTGGAGTAAAATTAAGAATTCAAACAGTTATGCGTGCCGAGTGCTGAATATGAATTACATCAGAAAATAAAGAAAAAGCCTTTGAGCTTTGCTCCATTTCCAGGCTGCTCGGCGCGGTGCACCAGCTGCCAGGTATCTCTTCATTCTTCCTGGTTTGGATTGTTGCCGCCGCTAAGCTAAAAGCTACACATGAATTTGAAAAGCCAAACCCCACCGGCAGCAATCACCGGAAGGCCCTGACTGTAGAATCTGAGCTCAGCCTGACATTTCCTCGTAGCCGAGAGATGAAGTCAGAGTTAATTTTTTTCTACATCTCCGTGATCTGATTTGTATTCTCCTCCATGTGTGTTGGGAAAATGAAATGGCTCTTTCAATTCGTTCAATCCACTTCTGTTATGCATAGATTTCGGCCACAAAAATAGATAGTGGCACAGGAAAGACATATTTGATTTCATTTGATGAGCAGATTCATTCCTCATCACAACCTGAACCCTCCTGGACACGCTTTCTGTCATATATTTGAGCAGACTCCAAGAAAGTGCTCCCGGCTTATTAATGGAGATTCCAAAGCTATTTCTTTGGATGTTTTCTACCCTCTTTTCCTCATTATCTATTCAGATTACCCCACAGTGCCCCTAAAAGTCTATAAGTATGCAGTGAATGCTGTGCTGATACATGCTGGTCAGATTTCTGTGTATCCACAGTATCTATATGTGGCAGAAAGAGTTTTTATACCTGCAGTGCAATGTGACTTGTTGCTGTTCCCTCTGAGGCGTCGGCTCTTTCAGCTCTGAGGCCACTTTTGGGGATTTTGACAGGCAAAGGGGGAGTGGAGTGACTGGTCGTTAGGGTCTGTTTGTGGTCGGTTTGAGACACCTGCACGGAAAAAAACAGTTCTTTTATATTCAGATGTTTAAATTTACGTGAAGTACAAAATTTGAATTTAAACATATAGCAATTTTTTTTTATGTGCTCATCCTTCAGTCATTTTGAGCCAGCAGTGACTTGGAATTCTAAATCCTGACCAGATCTGCAGACGTTTGTGCAGAGGGATTCCTAACAAGCTAAACTTTCTGGCATAACGAGGACAGGCGACACCGCGCGTACGTACAGGAACCATCCGGATGTGCGGCGGTAGCTGCTGCGCCTCGCGTTTCCACGGTGACAGCGCCCGCCTCTGGATCTGGTGCTGCTGTTTCATCTGTGGCTGCTGACAGGGCCTCTGCGGCGGCTCTTGTTGCCGTGGCGGCGCCTGCTGCTGCCTGTGCTGCTCGGGCTGTCTGGGCTGTGGCTTCTGCCCCTTCCTGTGTCTCTGCTGGTTGTTCTTAGGCTGTGGCTCTGCCGCCTGCACGCCGCACCGCTGCTTCTGCAGCAGCGTCTGCATGGCCTGCTGCTGGGCCAGCCGCAGAGCCAGCTGGTGGACGTAGGCCTGCTCCTGTTTTTGCTGCACGCCTTTCTGCACGGGCCTGAGCTGCAGACACGCGGCCTCCGCCAGCCCCCGGCCTTGGAGGACCGGGGACCCGACAGGAGGCTCAGCTCCACCTATCTCAGTCTCCACGGCTTCCTGTTTGATGGCTAGCTTGGCGACGCCTTGTCCACCTGGTGACCCTTGTGTGGGAGGCGCCGGGTGGTCAGGCGGTTCTTCTTTCACTCGTACAGGAACTGGTGGCTCCTGAGCTCCATCTGCCTCTCTGTTTCCGAGCTCCAGTTGCATCTTCAGAGACTCCACCAGCCTCTGCTTCTGCCTCAGCCTCCTCAGGAGCTCGGCGATCTGCTTATCTTTCTCCTGCAGCATTCTGTCCTTGTCAACCGTCACCAGAGACGCGGCGGTTTTCGGCGTGGGGGCAGCCGAAGGAGCCCGGCATTGTCTCTGAAGAGGGGCAGACTTTAAAGAGAACTGACAAGGTGCCTGGGTGGAACACGTGGGCTCCTCTTTGATGCGAACCGCCACTGAAGATGGATGAAGGTTGGCCTTGATGACAGGAGGAACTATCTAAGAAAAAGGAAATGTTCTTTTTAGTGAAACATGCAGAGGTGAAAATATATTTGATCGTCTTTTAACAACCACTTGTCCTCTCTGTGGGCACGAAAACCAAATGCTACACAACCTTAATTATTGTTAGATTAAAGCAAGTTTTAGACTAATTTTACTCTGATATGAGGTGCAGTTGACTAACTATTGGGTTACTCATACTGTATATCTAATCGATGTGTTAAAGCAAAACACAAAGGTGCCTGACCAGTTCTTCCAGCAGGTTGCCGTTAAAGCTGATGTGTTTTGGGCCCGGGGCAGCTGGTGTCCCGGGTTTAGGGTTGTTGTTACCGGCTTCCGTTGGAGAAAAACCTCTACCTGAATTGGCTGTCCAGGAAAGTTGCGAAAAAGGACAGGAGGTAGAGGAAGAGAACAAGTATTTTTTTAACCTTTAATTCTTTTGAACACTTGATTTTTATATTTTCTATGTCACACATTCACAGTGTGGAAGTGTACATTCTTTAAATATAATGCTGTCACTCCTTTTAAACATCACAGGTGTGCGTCATAAGCTCACTGACCACTAAGAGAGGACGCCTTCTGGTGCTGGAACCCTCCTAACGCGCTTCCAGCTGTTTTGGAGGAACCGCCTCCCCCTTCAGGCCCTGACCCTGTGGTACCCCCTGCTGTCGGAGAGGAGGTAGTGTTTCCGCCCCGGTTCAGCTCCTGGTAGGTCTTCAGCCTCTCGATCAGGTCGTTTTTAGTGCCCGAGACGGGCAAGCTGCGCAGCTTCAGTTCTGACTTCAATTCCGCAACCTGCCGGAGTACAAGACAAGATGAGACGGTGCTCAGAGAGACAGGAGAGTGGAGAACGATCAAGTTGAATATGACAGGAGAATTGTAAATGTTGAAGGGAGAAAACGGAGAGACAAGCAAGAAAAGAATAATTTGTCATTGTCTGTTGACTGCTCGTAGCCGGCAGGACACTTTTCTTTGACAGGAGGAACATCTTTTGAACACTGTAAAATGTTGTAATTATTCTAAACTGAGTGTTTTGTGGTCATGACCAAGAGCAATCGGTTTGGAATTGCAGTTGCCCTCGAGGGCGCAATGTTGCTGGTCAACCAACCTTCATCCCGTCCAGATTCGGATGCGCCGATGCTTTGGTCCCACCCGAAAGCGCAGAACTCAGACAGATGTAATGGAGCTGGTCAGCGAGGCCCGGCGACGGGGCAGCAGCAGGTCGAGGAGGCGATGAGATGGACGTTGAATCGGAGGAGGAGGACGACGGTTTTTTATCTCTGTTGGAGTGAAGGATGTGAAACAAAAGAACAGATGGAAAAACATAAGCATTCGTGTTCCTGCCTCTAATGTTCCTGCAAGACTAATGTTCACGCAGATGCTTCCAAACAGACTCCCCGCTCACTTGGAGGGTGCTGGGAGGATGGTGTGGTAGTTGAACTGCTGCTGCTGCTGACTGAGGATCTGCAGCTGCAGGAAGAGCTGCTGCTGCTGGAGGACCTTGGCGTACGATGAGTCCAGATGGGGAGGAGGCTCTTTATCTCCTTTCTGGTCAGGTGGGATGTACTGATGGTACTTCAACTTCTTGATCTAGAAGGCGACGCATAAACACCAAACTTTCAGCATTAGGAAACATCAACATTACATTAAAAAAAATTATTTATTTTTTTTTATCTATGTGACAAAGTGGTTAAGTATATGTTCACCATTTGTCCCTTATTATTTTGATACATTTATTTTTGTAATGGTTATAATGCTTAGATTTAAACATTAATGCAACCTTGCTTCATTTACTATCCCGGGTTTGTTTGTGTTGATATTGGGTTGCAGTTTCCATCTATTTATATGTTTAGTTTAAAGCTACCACTTTTGAATTATTGGTTGAACTTGTAGATTCTTGGTATTTGTGTTTCTTTTTATTTACTATTCTCCCTTGTAGCTTGGCAGCAGGTCAGGAGTGTGGGAGTGGCCGGCCCATTGCTTCCTGTTGAATGGCTGAATGATGTCACTGCTGGGTTCTACCAATTAGAGGGTTTTTTAGTATTGCTTTGTTTGTTCTTTAAAGTAACTTTTGAGTTATCTTGTTTGTCAGGGTTTATTTTGTACATTATTTTATTAGGATGAGTTTGTAAATTAGATTAATATTATTCTTGTTTTTGTTTAGACTTTGTCTTTGTTTTGTTGTTACCTGTTTGATTGTGGCTTGGCCCAATTATGTGCAGCTGTGTTGCCAATTGGCTTTAAAAGGAAAAAACAGTGTTTGTGGGGGGAGAAAAAAAAGAGAGCGCAGATGTTGGTGATAGGAGGAAAAATACAATAAAATTCTTCAGAAAACACTGGAACCTGGTGATTTGTGCAGCTTGTTTCGCTCACTTTGAAGACCCTAGACCACACTATCTTACAATCTACCTTTGGTTTGTTGTCCTTGGATTTCTTGGGTTTCTGGGAAATACGATCACAGTTTGGTTTCGGCTGGGACTGGAAAAAAAAAGACACGTTGAGTGTGCTGTTGAGTGTGTACTGCAGCTGGATTTGTGTTTTTGTGTGTTTAGTCCTTCTATGTTTTGGGTGTAGTTTCATCTTTAAAAAGAGGAAAATCCTTTAAAAGGTGGAAACGAGCATGTTTGCTCACAAGCCAGTGCTAAATTGTTCGATGCCAACTTACAAAAAAAATCCCAACTCTGATTTAAGTCCATCATGTTCTACACAATGGTTTCCAATCAAAGCACTAGATGTGACTTCAATAATGTGATCTGTGGCTAAGCTTCTAAACATACCCACAAAAACAACAGTAAATGATTCAACAGTTAATTACATCAACAATTCACCCTGTGATTTGATGATGTAATTAACTGTAAAACAAAAGCCAGTTTAACACAAAACATTAGAAACTTGATGTAACTTGTGTCCAAGAGCTTTACGTGCATTAAGTATATTCCAGTTTAACAATAACATTACCATTAATCATTTAACATGGCTTAGAAATTTCAGCCCAACAAATCCACAGAAAGCCTGTTCTCCTGGATCAAAACTTTGCGAGTCTGGTGGCGTTCAGGGTAGAAATGTATAATAGCTCGATAACTTCCACCCAATCAAGACAGCTCAGTGTTCTGACCAGCCTCTGTCACATCAGAGTTAAGAAGAGCACGGACAGAGCAGCCACTGTGACCACCAGTGGATCTGAGCAGTTCTCATTCTTAGCTAGGACAAACTTTTACCGACGGACGTCACTTACTTTGATGTCAGCGTTAGCACCTGTCCTCTGCACAGTCCTATTGGTCAGCTTCAGTGCAGAGAGGGATCGAGAGATCGGTTGAAAATGAAGAGTGGGTGGAAGGGCCTGATTTAGAAGCGAGCATTTCAGTGATTACACATGGTAAGACCATAATCTTGTACTTAACATTTATGTTCACACTGGTGAGTCTGTACTTCACACACACTGTGTTGGTTAAACTTTTGTAACTACTCTCTGGAGGTTTTTTTTTACCTGGCTTGGTGATGGGATGCTGCTTCCAGCCAGTATCTCTGTTGGAGAGGGCACAGCTCCGGGTTCGTCCAGAGGATAGTCCAGGCCTATTGGCTGTCCAGGAGACAGACTGTCGTTACTGTCCTCGTCACACGAGGAGTTCTCCCCTGACACCTTCGGAAACTGTGTCTCTGAGAAAAAGGATTGTGGAGAGAGATGGAAAGGAAATCATTTATACACAACTAAGTTTAATCAAATTCCAGAACTTGTGACGCCGTTAGCCTGAAATTGTAACAGATTTTCTGGTCTACACTTTTAAAAAACAAGATGCTTGGCAGGAAGTGTGTATGGCCTGCAGATTGCACTCGCTCTGGTTTTTATGTGACAGATGGAGCCTCTGACAGTAAAAAATGATTCAGAAAAATTCTGGGCGATCATTTTGCATAATTTATGCAGTGAATAATTAACTGTTTATGTGATTGCTTCTCCTTGTTATGAGTACCAAAAATGGAAAATAGAGCCAAAAATGGCATTGTCAAACAAGGGACAAGATATTAAAGTATTCACCAGCTCTGAAAAAGTTGATTATATCTATTCGCGCCTCGATACCCCTGCTAATTTCCTTCACGCTTATTAAATCATAAAGTCATTATTATGTAGACTTATGAGCCTTTACCGGGATTTAGGGAATAATGGTACCTGCTGGGATTCCAAAGACTTTTACGAAGACTTTTTATTAAATGATTAATCTATTGAACAAAATGTGAGCTATTTAATTACAGGAAAAGCACAGAAAACAATGTAAAACACTCTGCTGGATGTCAATTTACCATCAGCACGTGATGATGAAAGCACAACATGGGACTGATTTAATATCCTCCCATCCACAATTGAGTTGAGTTACCAACTGCTGTGCTCTGTGTGTGTGGGGGGGGAGAGTTTGGTACTAGGTAAAAAAGGACTTTCATTTCACACCAAAGACTTAAGATATATCAAAGCATGTGTCATCCCGATTACAACCCAGCCAGCTCACTAAGAAGACTTTATGTCTTTTATCTAATCACAGTTACTCGGAGCTTGGTCCCACAGAAATGACTCTTTAAGTAAGATAGCAAGCTTTGGTATTTATAAGGCTACATTAGGGGTTCTCTGAGAGGATCCTAAGAAGCTTTGAGGTTGAAGTCCTGGGATTCCATGGTCGCCACAGTTCGTCCTCAGATGCATCATCACAGTCTAATTTGAAAACAAACTAAAGGATAACGTCTATCCTCATATTTTCATCTTCCAAGTTCCAGGAAACTATAACCTCTTCTGAGGACTTCTGACATCCTGACAGCAGTCCCAAAGCCTCACAAAAGCAGAAAGACAAAGTTTCATCAAGGAAAATTTAAGGTTTGAGCTCTTCAAATCTTCATATTTTTAAAAATGTGTTTTAAAACTAAGACTACTACAAATCTCAACGTTTCCCTCTGTTCTTATGAAAGAAAATCCCTGAAATAATCTCCTCCTACCCGACAGTCTGAGGGCTACCCAAAGTACAATCAAGTTGGTTTCACGTGTATTACAGACTCAGCAGGGACACATAGTGACCTGAACTGTGAATTTAATGAGAACAGTAGAAAAACATTATTGCAACTACTTCATTTTCTTGTGGGATTACTCTTTTGTTTAGTTAATTTACTTTCATTTTATTTCATTTGGTTGAATCTGAGTTTTCTAAAGAAAAACTAAAAATATAAAAAATAAAAGATATGTATGTTTTTTTCACAAGCCCAGACAAAACTGGAAGTTAAACCTTTAAGTACATGTTTTATTTTACATTATCCAGTCTTATTTTGGCTTTTTATGTTTTGAAATCGCCCATAAAATCATTAAGACAGTCGAATGACATGTGTGAAATGTGTAATGAAACGAACCTCAAATCTCAAGAATGTGTTGGCTGTGAAGAAGCCATTCTAAAGAAAGGGTAACAGGGAATAAGAGATTGAGGTGTGCCAAATGCCACAGACGTGAACTGAAATTCAAAAACCGATTCAGATTTTTTATGGAGCGATGCATTCTCCTGAGAGGCCAGGCCTCATCATTGCTGAAGCAGTGTGGGATCATCTGACAGAGAACAGAACAAAAGGCAGCCAACATCCAAAGAAGAGCTTTGGGATGTCCTTCAAAAAGAAAAAACAACTCCTGTAAGCTATCTTAAAGGTAAAAGGCCCCAAACACTGACCCTTAAGTATCTCAGAATACTATAAACTGTATGTGCAAGAAAAACTGTACATTCTCATAAAAAAAAACTCTATATAGCTGGGAAACAGCTAAAAAAATTTGCAATGTATATCCCTCTATGGATAGTACTGATCCCTGTTTATTTACTTTTTCATGTCCATTTAGAACTTAGAAGATAGAGCTCCAACCTCATTAAATCTGTGACTGGTCACGTTAATTAATTTAGAGCACTCACTCATAAAGTAGCGTTGTGGTTCCTCCAATAAAAAATGCAGTATTTTTGTCCAAAAAAACACGGCGGCTATTTAAAGCTGACAGAAGAAAGGGAACTGATGTCTTCACTCCCGTCTGTCAAGTCAGGATGAGCGGGCGTAAATGATTTACCATGTGCCGCTTTAACCTTTCTGAAACCTCTGGAGGTTTCTGTTTAAGGCATTCCTACTCAGATAGTGGTCATATCTGTCTATGGATATGTTGGTTTCATGTGCTTATTGCCTGTGTGGAAGGTTTTACACAGCATTACTGAGGTTTACTTAGTTTTTTTAACTCTTCTAGACAGAAGTAACGGAACAAGACTTGCACCTGCACTGGCAAAGTTTAAGAAGTTGTCATAGCTAATGTGTTTTCAAGTGATTAGATGCTCGTCTCGATGTTAGGACTGTTGATTCTGTGCACTGATGGCCTTCTCAAAAAATTCCACAAACACCCAAGAAGAAATCAAGTAATTGGTCCTTGACTTTGTATTCTGTCCTTGCGTAAACAGCCTGATACTAAGAAACCTAAAATACCAAAACTAAGTCTAACTAAGTCACTATACTTTGCCTTTCAGAAGAAAACAGTAGATTAATGGCTACACCATCAGAGGTATGATATTTTTAAGGATGAAGTCACAGTAAAACTAAATGAATGGATACACATGGAAGTGTGTGTTAGACAAGAGGTGCTTGAACCTCCTCTGAAAACTATGTAGAACCATGAGATTTGACAGTTAGACAAACAGTTATCCTTTTTTTTCATGAAATGGTTTTTAGGCCCTGCCCAAATGATAATCCCATGATGAAAGTGAAATGCGTCGTCAGAGTGACAGAAACACTGCACTGTTAGGAATGGGCCTGCTGTAAGGCCATCTGTTTGTGTATGTGACAATTAGCTAACTAGCAAGCCAACTGCTAGATTTTGTAGTGTGAGCTGCAAATATAAATAAACTGCATGACGATTAATATAAAAACAGGACTGGACTCACTTTTTGAACTGCAGACCAGAAATCTAAGACCCTAGATGTAAAAGGGGATGCAACAGGCTCGGGGAATCAGATGTGTGCTCTGGAACTGAAGGCCAATTTAACGATTTCATACTGTGCACTAATGAGTTTAGAATCTTCTGCACCTACTCTGGGAGTAAAACATCTTGAGGAGAGTTGGAGAGCGGACACTAAATGGGTAACTTTTATGCAAAGCCATACTGACTATGTTGGCTATACCTCCACTTCTTCTCACACCTCAGATTTACCAACTAATTGGAGACAGATACAATTCACGATAAACACCAGAGCGACTCATTACCTCTCCAAATGCCATTCTCAATTTATGCCAACTTCTCGGCTGAGTCCTTGGTAGGACACACCCACCACTGCTGCTTGTTAACTCAATCCACAGCTGAAGGGAGTTCAACATTTTTGCAGTGCAGGCCTATAATTTCACATCTTCACAAGTCAGAGGAACAGATCTCAGCTCAGTTCTGATCAGCTTTTCCCAAATGATCAAAGAAATAACACGGCCCAGTCTGACCTGACTTACCTATGATGGCTTCCTTAATCCTGGAGTGCACAGGTAGAATGTTTTTCTGGATCAGCTCCATGGGTCCCGGCCGGTGGGCGATCTTATTGTTTAAATCATCTGCCAGGCGAGCTCTCTTCAGCTGCAGCTGCTTGGCTTGGAGTGTCGGCCCCGTAGATGCATCTAGAAACATATTAGGAGGTCATTGGTAGATGTTTTTCTGTGTGAATCCTCGAGCATGGATTCTAAGATGTGTCAAAACTCCAGATAGACAGGAGACACTCTGTGGTACTTACCCCCTAAGACGTGCATCCTGATCTCTGGCTGACTCCTAATCTTCCTCTTGAGGTAGTCCCCAGTCTGGACAGACAATCATGTCTGATTACTCAAGCATTTATCATTTCTTTTCACATCTACTACCCCCACCACACTAATCTACTGATGATGAAGAAGATAACTCTCATCTTATGTTTATCGACTCATTTTCACTAATCAAAAAGTATTTTTTGCCGTTTGCCATAAATGTGATACTCATCCATAAAATATTTACAGATGCTTTTTTTCATCCTTTCCAATTACTTCACAGTCCATCTACCCACCAAATCACCACTGCAATCAAAGATTGAGTGGATCTGTCAACGTTAAGCCTCACACTCCAAAAAGAAAATTCTGATTCAGTTCAATTGACCTCATCTTAGCTCTCCTTGTTAGACTTGGATCCTGCTTGTGGTGTTCCCCAGAGGCTGATAGTGGAAAGGCTGTGTGTTATCTTCATAAATTACATTTATAATGTATCAGATACATTACAATAAGTCATATCTGCTGTTTACAAAAATGTTTTTGTTACACATTAATGAATAAGATCACACATTTTTTTGAAAAATAGAAAACAACAAGTGCTTTGACATCAGTGAGCTATTTTATCCCAAGTCAGAAAAAAAAAGATATTTTTGGGGAATTGCAAAAGAATGACGAATACAATTTGATGGTGTAAATATTTAAAGAGTTTACAACCAAACTAATTTCTTGATCAAATAAGCAAATAAAATTGAAATCATGTTGTGAATTACTCCCATAATTACTGGTTGAGAACAGGAAACTCACCTTTGCTGGATCCAAGCTCTGTCTCTGCTCGTTAAAGGCAGCTGAAGTTTTAAGTGCTTGAAGGATGAAAAGAGAAAAAGAGAGCAGTGTGTTTATTCATGCATCTGAGGAGAGCGAAACACCTTTGAATGACTCTTTCCTTCCTCGGTTCCATCTGAATAGGTTATTAATGGGGAGAATTGGGGCTCTTTTACAGCCTAAAGTCTTACCGATGACCATATCAGCCCAGTAAACGCATGCCCTCACTGTGCAGGCTCGAGTATTTGTGCACCCTGACAGAACAAAATGCATCATCGCCTGGGTAATGGTCCCGGGCCTTTGGGGGAAAAAAAGGGCCAAAAATCACTGGGTGGAAATTTAATGGAATGGATTCTGGAGTCTCTCGTCCAGCGAGCGGAACTAAAGCAGCTGGAGTTCTGTAAACTGCTCAGCATTCAAAAACTACTCGGTCTGCAGTTATGAAAAAAAAAAACCTGAGTTAGTGCAGATGAAAAATCGTCATGCCTGAAAAAGTTGTCATGATACCCAAAGTGTTGAGTTAAACACAGCGTAGCTCTACATAGCTTACAGATTTGGTAAAAAAACTCAAACAAATCTCCTCTTTCCTTCCTTTCACTAATGCTGTATTCCCATAAACAGGAAATGGAGGTTAAACAAGGAGAAACGGCCCCAAATAGATAGTTTTTCTATGAGTTCAAGACCAATCAGGTGTTCAGTTTTCAAAGCCAGTTGAGCTGAGAAAATGTTTTAAGGTGATCGCACATCACTTAAACATATATACTATATGTACAATATATACTAAAGACCCTTAAAGGGCATAAAGAAACCAGTTTTAGGCAATGATCACCAAAGACTGGTCCCATTTTTTCATTAATGTGTGTCTTTGTGTGCTACTTCATTCCCCTTTCTTGACTTCCAAGCATCTCCTTGCCCCTTGAAACTGAGTAGGATGGTGCTCTAATATGCCCTTTGAAGTAGGAGACTTCAGAAGATCTTCAAGAAGCCTATAAGTCATGTTTTAAACCCCGGGACAACTGCTAATACAAGAACAGAACAGATTTCAGTGATATTAGCACATTTACATTTATTACTATAAAGGCCACACGTGTACTCGATGAGTTAACGATTACTTTGTTTCAGAGGTCAACAGAGAACCAGCATTTTCACACCGAGTATGAGCTGCATCCGCAAATTTTAAAAAGAAAAATATATATATTGTGCTTATATAGGCTGCGCTTGTCTATGAGCCAAATATTGTAACATAAGATATTTACATCGAAATATTTTATTTGAATTGAATGCGCACCGGCAACATATTCAAATTGACAATGAAAATACATTTCTCCAGCCTCTTTGGTAGTTCCACTGGCCTGATGTGACAAGCTTAAATGCTTAGCTGTATGAAGTTCTAATGTTTGCAATACCAGTCGCCCTGTATGTCTGTATGTCTTATGCTTCTATCTTTACAAAGTGTATATCCCCTTTGATCAGTGAGGCTGTGGCAGGGTAAAAGGTTTTCACATCTGGGCTGAAAATCCAGCCAGCTGCATATGGTTTTAGAGTGCGATGTGGATTGTTAAGTCTCTCTTCTAGTGTCTCAAACGAGTCAGAACTAGCTTGACATTGAATCAGCATAGTTATCCAAGACAGCAATATTTACATCTTGTCAGCTGTAAGGGGTCAAATGAGTCTGGACCCGGTAGTTTTTCAAATAGAGAGGTTAGCCATGCTAATGCTACCCATACGCTTCTACTTTGACCATCAATAAGATTTCTTTCAATTTTTGAAATGGCTTAAAAGACTACGTGTATGACCGGCCATGACGGCCACAGCACATATTGGCTAAGATACTAGATCAGTCCAGTAATTTGGTATTTGTCTCAGGCTGATGTCACGTCCAAATTATCGGAGCTCACAAAACCACAAATGTGTTGATGCTCTAATACCATTTCCCTGCACTGTGTATACACACACACAGATCCACACACAGTGCTATGACTGGATTGGTAACCCTGAGCGAGACTGCTGGTACCTGGTGAAGCCTGAGTTCACATCGCTGAGCACTGTCACACCACTGGTGCGCACACGCTCATGCACACCCCCCCCCGAGACAGCAGCCCTCCCAGACCCCCTCAACCGTCCACCAGTGGGTGGTGCGGCCTCCCTGACGTATGAGTGAACTTGTCAGTCAGAGACTCTGATAACGAGCGCAGAGATAGGTTTCCGAAGCAGGAGTGAGGCGAAAATGTGGAGAAACAAAAGGTGGAGAAAGAACCGTAAAACTGACAAGGAGAGGATGAATGGGAAGAGGCAGATGGAATTTTAAAAAAGGGACGTCTGACCAATGGGCAAAATAAATGGAGAGGGAGAGTGGTGGGTGAGGTCAGCAGTGAAAATCCTCTATTATGTGCATGAGTGGCTGACCAACATTACTGCTCTTTAAACTTGGAGAACATCAAGCACTTCCTCTGGCACTGATGGTCTTTTCATGTTCCGCCTGCTGCTGACAAGTGGTTTGTTTTCTTTTGAGCAATAACTGACAGGTCTCTCTGCATTCTACTTGCTGCTCAGCTCTTTAAACAGTCTCATATCTTTGCAGTTTAAGGCATTTGGAGTTTGTATTTAGTAAAACATAACAGATTTTCTTTTGCTCCAAGTTCTCTTGTTGACAGAGAAACTATTCTCTTGGTCTTTTTTTCAGCCTTAGTTCTTCAAGATTAAATTTAGATCGTCACATGTAACTGTGTAAACCATGTTCATTTTTTTTATGTCACCTTTGTGTTGTTTTTTTATTTTCAAGACGTGTTAGAATAACAGCCAAGACGATGTATCACACTGTGTGCCTCTCATGAGCAGTAAAAATAACACTAGCTCACACCACAGCGAGCATTTAAGATGTGCACCTGCACACAGACGGCTTAAAGCTGGTAATCTGTGTGTTTGTTAATATGTGATAAAATCTAATGAGGAAATGCAACATTAAACGCAGCAAGTGCAAATAGTTTTTCTGAGTGAAATCTTTTCCCGTAAACGAAGGTGCGAAATAGCGAGAAATGGTTTTAGACACAGTTTGCGATTCAGTGACCGGAGACGATCGAGGGTTTTGGGTCTTTAAACATTGTGCGCCCTTGAATAGTTGACCCAGACAGACAGTTCACCAGACCTTAGCTTCTGTTCTAGCATCACTGGCTTGTGGTTATTGAGTGGCTCCTTTTCAGATTTTCAAATGTCGCTTAACAGAAAAAACTATGGGCTTGTTTCCCTCAGATGCTGATGAGTTAATAAAAAAAAGCCTTGTGCAGTCACATGGTAATGGTATCATTTAGTTGCGTGCACCTTTATACCTGACTTTCTTTTGTAATTACTACCATACCATGGCCATTCCCTATATCTTCAACAATTTCTAACAAATCTAACCTTTGGACCAGCACGACTATTTAATGTAGACACAAACTTGAAATAAACTTTGAGGAAGGAGACAAAACCGGCCGACGTTATCTGAATACAATTCAATTGAGTATTATTTATTTTGTTCCAAATTACCCAATCGGGGCTTAAAAGATACAGTACAATTCAAGTCAATTAGAATTCAAGTCATAACTTTACAATCATAATCCAACCCAATTAATTAAAAATCTTATTAATACAGTTCATGAAAGTCTAAAGCTATGGGACCCAAAAGATTGCACAGGAACCTCACTTCAAATCCAATCCCCTGTCCTGAGCATGCACGAGGTGTCTATGGAAACCAAAAACGCCCTTTTAATGGCTAGATAACTCTGGCAGAACTAGACTCCGGGAGGGCGGCCATCTGCCTTGAACTTCATATATGAGGAAGTATTTGCAGAAGCTTCACAAGAATTCTCTCCAACCTTTCTTGTTAATTTTTCCTCTTCAGCTGGTAATGTCTATGTTTGCAGCAGGAATTTACATCCGTCTTAAGGAAAATCCACTTTTTTAAGTCTGAAACCACTCCAAGCGAGCATGAGAATTTGTTTGCAAGATTGTCTGGAGTTCAACAGTATTGTGTTGCAGAATGGAAACTTACTCCCACCAGGGAAAAACAGCACATTATCCCAGCCAAATACACAGGGATGGCAAATGATGGGCCCAGGGATAAGACCTGGAATTTGGCCCAAGTCATGGTGGGAGTTTACACATGTGCTGGACTTAATTCCCCTGAACACTACAAGAGACTAAATACCAGAGCACACCTTTGTTTACTATTAATAGAAAGCAATAGATTATTTCCGAGAAAGGAAAGCTGAAATAACATTTTGATCTTCGTTATAACCAGTTCATAGATGGAAGCAGAAATGAGGAAATATGTCTAGAAAGATAAGAATTGCGACAACACCAACAGTGGTTTTAGTCAGCCTGAAATACACCCAAATGTGGTTCCTGCTCACTCCTCTGAGCAGTCAAGATGAAACGGGCCTATTTTGTCTTCTCATTCTTAACAATGGAAAAAATAGCATGTTGTACATTTCACTCTCGAGTAGCTCTCCAACTAGATGAAAGCTGAGCTCTTATTAATACTTGCCGTCTGCGAGCTAAGATAAGAACTGACAATTGTATTATAGCAGCAAAAATAATGAAGAGGAAATCGCATATGCATGCATTTGGCTGCTGAATCTATTCCTGTGTGACAGAAATACAACAGCGGGGTGAATAAACAAGAAACTCCCCATCAGTGGTTTCCAGGCCAAATTTTACATAATGAAGAGATAGCGCTAGCAGGTAAGACACAGTTCACTTCCTCTCTCACAACTAAAAAGACTAGAAAAAAAAGATGTCATGTGGAATAAGGTCAGCTTGCAGAGATAGTGGCTATGAACTTGGCTTTCTTTTCAAAAATAAAAAGTTTACTGATGTTCTTACGTTATGAAGTGTACCTAAAATATCAAATTTGAAATAATAATTTTTTCTTTCATGCAGAATTGCCTGTAGAAAATACTCATACTTGCGCTGGACGGCAGCTGAATATGCCGTTCATGGATTTTCACAATGGCAGTTGTGAGGGGACTTTGATTCACATCGCTTTGAGGACTGAAACTGCCGTCTGTCAAGAGACGGTGGCAAAGTCTTCACCACAATTCAAGCGCTTCACAGAACGCTGAGGTGCAAAAAGGAGGTTACATTTCTAAGTAACAGGACATATTCTCACAGTGCTGACGGAAAGAGAAACTACATCGAGAAGGCGGTGCAGTGAAATGTGTTTACTCAGATAAAATGATATTGGAAATAATTAGCTATATCTCCATTTATCATGGGGTGTTTATGACTTGCTAAACAGTCCTTAAGCCATGCAGTATACTTTTAACTAACATGGCATGTTGTTTTGGCAGATACTCAAAGTGAAGAGTGATTCACTGTATTTTTAAAAGACTTAGACTCTTAAGTCAAATCTGATTGTGTCATATTTTTCATCTGTCTAGTCAATGGACAAAACCCCAAAATAATTATCGCTACTGCAATGAGGCATCATGTATTGTTGAAAATATCAAAATTTTACAAATTGCTGTGTACATTTGTGACAGAGAGTGCTGATGTTCTTCACTGTGCACGTGAACATTATTCCCTACATTATGAGGCATGCTTGGGGATGTCGGCTGATTGAATTCCCCTTCACAAAATCCTTCTTTTCCTATCAACCTGCAACAGAAACAGCACTGACTGTCTGTACAGAACATTGGACCTCAGTCTTTCGCGCATTTTTTTGCGCTGCAACTGTTGTAAATTCAGCGCTGAAGACAAAAGTGAATAGTTGGTTCTCTAGCCAGGCCAGATTAATCAACATTTGGTTAAACAAGCCAATTACATCGTAGCTGGATCTTGTTTTTGCCTGAAAATATGACTTTCAGGAGCATTTATAATGCTATTTTGTGGTAATTTCTCATCCTCTTATACCAAATCGGTAATATCATTCATTGCTATGGCAGGATTTGTAAACTATTTAACAAATTGTCCTTTTTGTTTGAAACTCAAACTAGGTACAATGGCTGATGGGTAATCCGTCTACTTCACCTAAAATGAGGTGATGACCCTTTCAGTCCTCTCTGCACAGCTCACTTTATCCTTCATAGATCATTTACACTTCTCACGGTCTATGACGCACCCACATATTCTACATTAATCTCCCCATATTTAGTTATTTTGCATCTGCAAGTTTGCATTTGCCATTATGCTATGCACTTACCCGGCATTATCCCCTTACTGAGCAGTTCCTCTCTGGTTTTTCTCTGTTGCAACTTCAGCTGGAGCACTACACAATGAGACACAAAGGCAGAAAAAGAGCAGAAGACACAAAATCAGTGAGTGCTCAGTGAACGGAGCGCGAGCAACAAGCCGGCCGTGCATCCTCCCTACCTCGGTGTTCTGCCTCACAAAGTACGCAAATGTGGTGACATTACTCATTAGGCTGACTAAAATAGGCATGGGTTTTAGAATAAACCAATAGAAATGCCTGCAAAAAATGTATAGAGGCAAGAATTACAGTGTTTAAGTTGCCAAATAGGAGGATTTTGTCTCTACCCGGTTGGCTGCAGTTGCAGTTTGTGGTCCTCTCTGACAATGCCGGTAAAGGTTGCATGATACACAACAAAGGGAAGTCAAACACACACTCAGGCACGCACACGAGCAGTTTCCTGTTTCGAGTTTGATAAAACGACTGAGTGTGAAAACTGAACACACCACAGCCCATTTTTCAAAGCAACTTTAATCACTCATGATTCTGAATTTTTGGAGAGAAGCTATAAATCATGATTTGATATGGTGATAGGCGAGAAAATCAGCAGATTAAACTCCCAAATTTATAGGAGTATCAGTTTTCCTGGACATGATCTGTTCAGTTTGTGAGAGATATTTTCGATTCAGCTTTCCCGCGTGCGGTTTCAATATTAGCTTGCACTGTAGCTGATCGATTGCACAGGAGGATGTGCATGTTTCTAACCTGATATCTCTCAATTTCTATTTTTCCAAACTATTTTTCCACAATCGCTGTACCAACATTAAGCTGTCAGCCACAGAAATCATCTCAGTGATGGATCAATATCCCTCCTCAGCGATATAAAAGGACAAATTCAACCCTAAACTGAGAAAAGAAGCTCATGTTTTTCCAGCGGACGTTGTGCGATCAAAGTGATCCAACGGATCTTTCCAGAAGCAGGCTCGTGAAATAAATTAGATGCACGTTTCACCTGACCTTTTCAGGAACTATACCCAATAGAATGGGTGGGCCAGTTTAGCTATAAATAGCTACATTAGTGGTATGATTACACTGCTGGATAAGTGCCAGTATTTAGTTCTATTGATATGTTATCTAAATTGAAAAAGGAAACAATGGGTGGTGATTATTTTTGGCAGAATCTATGAGCTCTAGATTAGGGTTTAATTCAAGTTCTATTTGTAATGACTCATTTCACATTACACGTACGCTTATATATTGCTTAGGCAATACTGATTAGTGATGCTTTAAAATGATGTTGTTTAGGTACCGTCAGTTCAGTTAATTATTTTTTTACGGTAAATTAGGACCCAATGTTCACTGCTAACGTAAAGGATTAAGAAAAGTTCATTGCTTTGTGAGTCAGAGAGCTGGAATCACATCAAAGAGAGCCTAATGTGTTGATATCCCCCTCTTTCACTCCTCATGTATTTATACATGTAGAGCGTGTTTCTCACTATAAAGACAAAATCACTCCTGAGTCTTTATTCCAATGTCTAATTAATATTAAACAAGCACCACATTTAGATGGTCTGTTCTCATATACAATGGAAAATAAATCTCTATGTTATTTACCTCTGGGAATGTAAAAACGGTACCAGAAAGCATCAAACTGTGCTGTTTGGACATGGAATTTACACTGGAGATAGCCGTCTTTTTAATCAACAGCTTGCAATATCATTCTACATTTGGGCTGTAAAACGTGTGGTTTGCTTCACAGTTTTGTCCCAAATCCTCCCTAAATCTGAATCTACCTCAAACATGCAGTCATTAATACAGATATGCACGCATCTCAACACAAACTAATGTTAATCCTCAAAAAACAAAACTGATTTTCCTCCTTATGCGCTCATTTCACCACATGTGTCATGCCCTATAAATCTCACTCAGTCAACAAAGGGAAGAGCTTCAATCTTTGTTACAGATCGCCTCTTCTTCTTTTTTTCATACCATATCTATAATCTCCACATTTATGTTTGTTTATTCCCCTTTTCTGCAGTAGCAGAAAATAATAGGCGTGAGACTAGCCTACAGCTGTCCACAAAATCTGCAGGCATTGCCTACCAGAGGCCTGATATAAAAAAACAGTTCGCATTCCTTTGATTGCTGACATGAAGACGAGGCTGACGTGGGATAACGGTTTCTCCCACTTGGCAGCAGGATGGTTTCAGCTGGCGACCGCAGTCGAGCATGAGCAGACTAGTAAAACCTACGCGTCACATACGTCGATGACAAGCGCTCACAATCTCTCGAAACAAGCTGAGCGCATTGAGCATGCACAAAAGAAGAAGACGCATTCTGACGATGCTAAAAACGGCAGCGTGGTGTGAACACACGCACAATCATGGGGAAAGGGCCCAAACGGTAACCCCTAACACTTGTACACAAACATATATCCCCGAACCTGCAGAGTTAAATCAACTAAACACTTGTTTGTTTTTTTTTGCCAAAACTTATTTATGACCAGAGATGACAAGAAAGTCATGCAGTGTGCTGATACAGACTCTATTCTGGGAGAGTGTGCGCGTTACTCAAATGTCACCACATAGCGGCAAGTGTACATTTAGTCAGCAATGGACCAACGGCCATAAAATGAACGTTGACATGCAGGTTACAGTTTATGAGGAAACGACAATTGCTTGTACGCAATGTCGAAAACAAAGTACAGGAAAAGTACTGAAAGAGCCAGATTATATCCCATCATGCATCTGCGTTAGGATATTGGTTGCGTTGGTCATTTGGGGGCTTGCTTGTGGACTGTGATTATATGCAGCCTGGTGGCATATCCAAACCCACAACCCACCACATTACAATACAGCCTCTAGCACAATCGCTACAAATGTTTCCAACATACACGCATCACCAGTGTTGGGGAGTAACGGATTACATGTAACGACGTTACGTAATTTAATTACAAAAAAAGAGTAACTGTAATAATTTGTTACAGTTACAATGAGAAAATATGTAATTCAGTTACAGTTACTTCCGAAAATATGAAGAATTACAAATTTGGTTACATTTTTTTTTAAAATATAAAGAAAAACCTTTGCAAAATATGCAACTCACTGATAGACGAAGCGTATTGATTTACTAATATTTGGCTGTTTGGTGTTGATGCATGACAAACGTTTATCGATGGCTATGACCTAGCCTAGCCTAGCCTAGACTACCTAGCCTACCCAACTGTAGGGTGACCAGACGTCCTCTTTTTCCCAGACATGTCCTACATTTCAGACTAGGGTTGTCAAAAGTATCGATACTTCAAAAATTATTGATACTAAAATGTTGTATCCGGATACGATACTCATTTTAAAAAGTATCGATAACAGACGTTAGCCTTGAACTGCTAGCTGCAGCTAACGGCTAATACTAACATGCTAAAATTAATCATGGGTCAATACTCATTAAAACCTTAAAGTAATCAAAAAGTAATCAAACTTAATTAGTTACATTACTTTTTTAAAGTAATCGAAAAAGTTACACTACAATTACATTTCAAACAAGGTAACTTGTAACTGTAACGGATTACATTTTTAAAGTAACTTACCCAACACTGCGCATCACAGTGGTCATGTGACCACACGCTGCAGAATATAAAAGTATTGTAGACAAACAATTGTCTTTCCCTAAATCCTTTTGGTGCCATGTCACACAACTGGTTTTCGAGGCGTTTCGACTTGCACATGCTGAGATCAAAATAGAGTATTGTGGAGTTCCTCTTTCTTTTTACCAACTCTTAAGCTAAAGTGCAGCAGCTAAATGGGCAGAGGTCAACCCTAATTTCTAAGTGAAAGTGATTAAAACTCTAAAATTTTACTGTTTTTAAGAACACAAAAAGTAATTTGTTGTTTCCCAGCAACAATCAATACGAATATCACAGCTTCCTTGTGGTTGACCTTTCCAGGTCAAAGCAACAAAAACTAATCGCTCAACAAAACTGAGTCCACTTACATTTTGCAACTATGAATCTATTTAGTCAATAAATCGTGCCTGCATCCATTCCTTTTTTTTTTTTTTTACTTTTCCCATTCTCAGGTCTACCCTCACTCCGTTTTTCTGGCCAGCTACTCTGGTTCAAGGCCACGGCGAGCACAGCTGCGCGACAGGTTGCCGAGTTCATGCGCCCGAGTCGAAGTGTGCTGCGCTGGGGTTGGCCGGAGCCCAGCTGAAACCCGGCCACCGGGAGAGCATCTGATCCGCTTCACAGCTCTGTGCAGAAAATAAGCCTGGACGGCACCTGGAGGAACACCTATTCGGAGAACTTTATAAAGTGAATACTGGGGGGATATATTTGGATTAATGGCCTCACACTATAAAAAGATAGCGTGAAATCGAGTCAAAGCGTTAAATCAGTAAGTGGAATATCCTAAGCATGCGTGGATCTAAGAGTTCTTGCAAAGGGAAGCCCAAAGATTGACACACAACAGGTACCCCACCTTTTCTGAGACTCTGACAAGCCCGGCGCTCTAATTCAAAGCGTATGTCTCTTTCATCCATGCTGCTGCTGATTGGCTGAGGCCTGAAAGGGGCAGGGTTGATGCGGACGCATTGCAGGTGATCCAGCATGGCGGAGGCGATCGAAACTAGAGCACCATTCTCCTCATCCTCAAAAGAACAGCGAGATCAAGAAAGCATCCTCGAGTTCAGGGCCCAGTGATTCATGCAGGTGTCACAAGTCTGAACATCTGCTAAGCAGAGCAACGCGATCCTCTTAAAGAACTAAGCAGCAGGACACAGCGTGAGCCATAAAGGAATATCCTTCAAAGTGCAGACACAGGAAAAAGGAAGTCTCCCGCATTGCTTTTTGCTTATCGAAGATGATCAAAAGAGGTCAGTCTCCACCACGGCAGCCACTTACGCCCACTTATCTAAAAGAAAGAGAGGTCTTTGTAACGGTCAGCGAGCGGAGCGAGGGAGTCCGGCCCGGCAGGGTCACTGTGCAGCTTTGGGAAAAGCTCGAGACGTGTGTGTGCGCCCTCATGTGTGTCAGATGTCAGCGAGTGTGGGATCACGCCGCCTGTCACAGCTGCTGCCGCACTCAGTCACTCAGACCACTGACAGACACAGACAGGCGCACATAACACACACACACACACACACACACACACACACTTCCTTCGCACCGAATTCCACTCACTTAGCACTTTTGATCTGAGCTCGAGTGGTGTCGGCGGGACGCACCTGTGGAAGCACGGCGCCGTTTTCTCGCCGCCTAAATCATTTTACGGCCCGACAACAAAACTCTACACGCACATGTGCGTATCTGTCTATTTTCTCTGTGCCTACGTTTTTATTTTCTCTGCTTTTCCGCCCACATCTTTGAACCACATCATTAAAGCAGGGAAGCACCCATCATTACAACGCTCTGCTGTGTTTATAGATGTTGCACAACTAGTTTTACCTCAGAAAATGACCTAAAGTTGGGTTTCTCCTCTATTTTTTAGGTTACCAATCAGTGGATGATATTTCAGGACTCATAAAACCTGCAGCATAGAAGTGGGTTTCTTGTTCAGACAACTACATCGGATTCACTCTAGCTGCACCACCGTCGACACTCCTGGACAATCACTAATCGTTCAATCATTCACAGGTCTCAGCCTGCCGTTTGAAAATGATCTTAATGGGTAAACGCTGCCTCTCTGTGCCTGTCAGTATTAAACACCTGCCGCCTCCGCCGACAGCTCCACTCATCTCCATTAATGAGGCTCAGTCCCAGGCGACATCACCTGATGTCTGACATGGCATTAAAAAGCTGAGACGGGGCCCTCTCAAGGTAAAAAGAAAAACTTAAGTACTGTCTTATCATCTGTCGCCTGGCTTTACAAGGAGCTGACGGCGGCTGTCGTGTTCACATTACGCGGGTGAGGAAAAAATAAGGGCTCCGGAAGCCTCCGCCGCCACGCCGCTGACCTCGGTGAAGAAGAACCCACACGATAGCGTGCTCATATTTTTGTAAATGACTTGGCAATTACAGGCAAGGAGTCTTTGTGCGAAACGTGCCGGATGACGCGTCGGCGTGCTCCTTGTTGTTTAATATGCAGGGGAGTGTGGTCCCCCCGGGCAAAAGGAGCTCTTCAGTCTGACAAGAGAGAGGGGGAGACGAATCGGGGCTCGGATCCACCGTTCCCTTAAGATAAGGCCCCGACCAGAACGCCGAGCTAATCCTGCTGTGGGCGTGTGCGATTGATTCCTCCAAGAGAACCTCGGCGCGTGTTCGACTATGTCATGTTTCTGTATAATTCCCGTGAAAGACCGGATCTAAAAGTGCGTATGCACATTTGCGCGTCACGGAGTGGATGGCGTGCGTTCACATATCAGTCATTAAGACTATTAAAAGAAGCCGGCGGAGCGGCCCTGCAGGAGCTCTTCTCCCTCCGCGCTCCGTCTTCATTTCAAAGCGCTGCCTTGCTGTCTCAGATGTTAATCTGATTATCAAGAAAAATCTGCTTTCATTCTCTCGTGTCTGGCTTGTCGTTCCAGCGGCGGCCTAAAGGCGACACGGAGTTTTTCAAGCAACGGCTGTCATTTGGCACGAGGGTGGACTGGCCTCCCCGGGTTTAGGGATCGGCAGCTGTCTCAGGTGGAGGAATGTCTCTGGCTCCTGTTCGTAACGGAGGGGGGGGGGTCTCGCGAAACATGATCGAAGGAGACCCAACCTCCAAGCTGTGGCTCCTGCTGCTCCCCCTGCAACGAAACGAGTCCGCTCAGGAGCCAGATGTGGACTTTGTGGTCTGCTAATTGTGAAGTTTGGGTTCATTTTGAATAGTGTAGGGACACAGTGTGCATTCATGAAGTTTGGATTTCGATGTCTGGTGGTTGAAACTGGGCTTTCTAGTGTCTTGTTGTTTTAGAACTGGGGCAAGGACCCACCAAAGTGCCCTGTGCTGTATTTCTTTGCCAATTCTTCATCTTTTTAACATTAATGGGCTTATTTTCTTCTTTCTTTTTTAATGCCACGCCCTGTGAAAACAGTTCACACAAGTTTTTATTTCTCAACTTACACTTTGTCATAAGTCCTTTTTGTGTTATCTCTCTGTAAAAGTGTATGAACTATGAGAAAGATTTTCTGGTGTGTCATAAATCAAAAAGACAAGAGGTCCACAGAGATTGCAAAGTTGGCGGCTAGAAATGTCGGTGTAGCTGTGGGTGTGTTCTTTTGTTTGTTTTTTTATAAACCACACTCATAAACCGATAGGTCAGAGAGAACCCCGGTGACCATCACCTCAGCAAATTCATTCTGCAGCTGCGAGCAAAGAGTCCAAGTCTTCAAGTTTGTTATGGTCTCACAATGGCAGTAATATTTGGTTGTTGTGGGGGTGAAGTCGTAAAAACTCGCAGAGGCGTTTCTCATAAGGACGCGGGTCATGAAACTGTCATGTCATTTTTTTAATGGGCGAAGAATCAAAATTAGCCTCGGTGTGCTTTGCTTTTTAATGACTATACTAAAAGTGATCATGCAAGCAAGCAATTTCAAACTATATCCATCACGTCTTTGGTTTCATCTTCCTACAACAGGACAAAGCTGTAAACAAGTGTCAGATTAACTGCAATCAGAGCTCTTTCTTTTCCTCTCGGTGTCATAATTAACTGGCACAATGATCACATTAGCCTTCTCTCTGCTCTCAATATTTGCGAATCCTTTAAACCTTTAACAAGATTACTGAAATTATATTTTTCTCATTTAGCCCCCTGACGTAATGACATACATTTTTAGCCCCTGTACTCACCTAGAATGTGATTGAGTGGTTGTTTGTCTCTGGGACTGGCGACCTGTCCATGGTGTCAGCTGGGAGAGGCTTCCATTGGGAATAGGCGGTATAGAAAATTAAAGGATGGAAGGATGTACCAATTTATGTGCCCATCGTCTTGTCTTAATGAGTCATTAGACAAAAAAGTAGATACTGTAAAATGGATAATAACCTGGATAAAAACCAAAGACAGACAAAACCTAAAAGGTTGTTTCATGACTGATGAATAAGATGAACATTTAAACTCAAAATACATCATTTTAAAATGTATCCATGTTTGTTTTATTTAAACATTAATTGTAATTTAGTTAAAACTAGTTTTGACTTTAGTTGCACCATAATCTGTTCTCTAACTGCCCCAACACACACACACACACACACACACTCTGTTTCATACTCCCTCAGCCCATTACCCCCGCTTCACCTCCAATCCTCCTCTTACATTACATCTCCCTTTCCTGTTCTGTACTCTGCCACAGGTTTAAATAGCACAACCAACTGGTCACATCTATATCCAGAGGCTCTCCATTTGAACACACTGGACCTGCAGACTAAGATTAGACACTTTCATCTCAAACACATTCACAGATACACAAACTGTGACAGACAGTGTGGTTTAGACTAAATTCAATTCAATCTTTAAAGTATAGTATATCAGTTGCTTGGTTCTGCCTTGCAGTAGAGCTAGTTGTAGAATTCATTTTGGTTGGATGGAGGAAGCACAAACCTAAACAGAGTGCAAATTCTATCTGAGGTCAGTTGACTGTATCTTTTAGGTGACCGTGTACCTACTGTGCTACTGTAATGATACTTTAGCCCCGAAACTAAACAAAAGAGCCCTCTGCCGAGAAATGGAAAGAAAGCCATGGATAAAGTTAAAGCCAAGTATCAGCAGCGTATCCTGCCGCCCGGCTATTATACATCCATCCCAGTGTTTCAGTAGTGACATCGATAGGTTCTAAACAGCCTCTGGCCAGCCTTCGTTTTTCCATGCAAAACAGGATTACACATAAAATAGAAATCCCACTTAAAAAAGGTCATCAGTAGCACACAGACAGTAGTCTGGATAAAATATATTTTTACTTTGGTTGCCCCTTAGGGGTTCCACAGGGCTCTATTCTTGGACTATGTTATTTTACTATAACTTGACTTGAGAAACAGAATGTGAAGTGTTTCTTCTTCTATGATCTCATAAGTTCATATTGTGTGCTTTTTGTACTGATGATAAATGTATATTGACCTGATTAAATAAAACAAAAAAATAAATAGATAAACGGATTAGATCCTTAGATGTGTCCCCTGAACAGGCAGTCTAAGGGGGTCAGACTCTTTCTATATTCTGAAGCAACTTTGTTTTTATAGCCTTGGATATTTCTCAACCTGATTGTCTTCTCATTTATAGGTCCTCACTAAATAAGTAAAGCAAGAGGAGTGAAGAAAGGGAATGGTTGTAAGTGAATAAATGTAGAATCAGCAAGCAACTGGGGAAATTTTGCCATTTTCAAAGGCTGCTGATGCAGAAAAGAAATGTCAAGATTGCCTCGGGCGTGGCAGTTCCAAGGGGGGGGGAACTAAAAGAACTAAGGAGCCATTATAAAACCAAAAAATGGAGCAGCAGGGCCGGATTTAAAAAGCTACAACTAAACCAGAAACAAGACAAAACCACAACTCGTGACATGAAAACAAGGAGCAGAAGGCACAGAAGGAACCTTGGTTAGGCAACACGTAGCAGTGTACAGCAAGGATCTGATAAGAAATGGATTGGAAAGAGAGTCTTTTACAGCAGAGATGAATCATGGATGCAGAACAGGTGAGACGAAAAGCACAGGTGCAGGAGTTGAACTGGATGAGGTAGGCTAGAGAAAAATGAGGGACATGAATGAGAGGGGTGGAGACACAAGGAAACAGGAAACCAAGACAGACACCAAAATAAAACACAAGAAAGCCAAAGAGTCGAAAACAAATTAGAAATACAACGCAACCCAAAAAACCTGAAACATGGTGAGAAGCTGGTATGGTAAAGTGTTTTTAGTCATTGTTGACAGGGGCAGCTGTAGCTCAATAGTTACTTACCAATCAGAAAGTTGGTGAAAGCTGTTGAAACGTTTTGAATGGTTATTTCACATAAACAGAACAAAAGAACCTGTTTGGATTCCTTTCTGACCGTGACAAGTCCTACAAATGAACGGGTCACAGATGTCATGGGTTTGTACGTCTCAGTTTAGCCCATAAAGGCATCCTGTAACGTAGCACCTACATGAGTGGCAGAAGGAAAATATGACTCAGGAGTTTTTCACATCCGAGATGACATGGTTCAACCATGTGCCCTTGTGTGTCATGAGTGCAGACCAACACACATTCTGTCAATGACACGCCAAATGGTTTCCTGAAATACTTCTTAGATATTAGCATTTCATGGCAGGGGTAATATATATATATATATACAGTGTTAACATCACCAAATAAGATAACATTTTTACCTGTAAAATCTTATATTTTTTAAAAACTTCCCAATCTAAAATAAATTATTATTGACCTTGTTTGTCATTAACTCTAACTTTTTATTTGCATGTATGAAAGAACAGTGGGAAAAAAGCAACTTCAAAACAACCAGTGACAGCATCCTGTTTGGAAAAAAATGCATAATTTAACTTATCACATCAAACCAACAGTGACACTGTTACAGGAATGTGTCCAGGATGAAACATCTGCTGTTACTGAGCACCAGACTCCTTTCCCCTTTACTTTAAAAACTCTGTCTGCCTGAATATAGTCATTAGAGAGCATTTACAAAAAAGGTTTGGGGTCTAGTTTCTTTAGCTACGTTACACACAGATAAGTGTCAAGTAAATCTGAATTTTCAATGTCTCAAAATATGTGTCAGTAAACAACCCATTTTTCCCCTTTTAATTGCAAGCTGCTTGTGTCTTGTCTGGGAGGATGTGGTTGCTTTTACGAGTCTAAAACAAAGCTTCCGTTATCTGGCAAGTTCCAATGTTGTTGTCCACATAATATTCCACCACCAGAGGGCGACATACACAAGAGCTTGGGTGAGGGGGATAGGAACCATTCTTTCGGAAGCAGACATAGGGGGTCAGAATTAATGACGGACCAAATACCTTAAGCAAAACAATCGAATGCTAGTGTATTAAATCTATACTACTGCGACATTGTGAGAATGTATAACCTATTTTTGTCGACTACATATTCAGCACAATAGGTCAAGGCCAAAGGGTGAGGATAACCCGACATTAGCGTTGGTTTAGTTTAGTAAAGGAGGAAAAGAATCACGTTGTTGAGCAGGTTGCCAACTTTAGTTATGTGGGGTGAAATCGACGATCCCGTGAAACCCAAACCGAGTCCTTGTGAAAGCAAAGATAGGTGCGAAGAAGCAGAGGAAGCCGAGATACCGTCGCAGATATGCTTTCAAACCAGACCAAGACACGAACCAAGCCCGGCACCACCAGCGAACTTCCAGGTGAGCTGAGCCGCCAGGTGCTGCGTTTTTTGTTCCGGTACCTCGCTGACAAGAGTTCGTGCTCTCAGGCGGAGTCCAGGTGTGTCTTTGCCATGATTGAGGGGATTGTCATGAGTGGCAGCCTGGTCAAGAGCCAGCAGATAGGAGAGGCTGAGCTGACGGTGGGGGAGCGCAAACAGGAGCTCCTCCATCAGTACCGGAGCAGACCGCTGGTGTTCCTGGAGAGGTACCATGTACGTGTCACATGTCATGCACGCCACGCACATCCGCTGTCACTTTCTTTCCCTTATATCACTTCTTATCCATTTAGTCCTCTGGTTCTATTATGTAAGAAATCATCATTTCAAATTTGATACATTTCCCTGAACGCACCATCAGAGTTCTCAGTGCATTCTAAGGATTTTTCTTTTAACGTCGGGCCCGAACTCTCAGGTTGTTTATTGCCTTATTTGTTTCAAAAGAGGAGTGCGCTGTTTTTTGTTTTATTTTACACCACGTTCTAGAATTGATTCCAGAAAATGATCTTGTCTGTGGATGACCCTGCATCCCAGTAGGACCAACTTCAGTTATGAAGTAACTGGACTTGATATCATTTGATCCTCTTCTCTGGTCTTTTGGTTGTTATTTTCTTTCCTTTCTGATGGCGTCTGTCATGTGGACCACCGTTGATAATTTAAATAAGGGTATTTATCATATTGGCAGCTCATAGTGTGTGTTTAGAATTACTTGGAGGTTCATTTCAGGTTACGTTTGTTGTATTTCCCGCCCTCCCCCCTTCCGTTTCCCCAGGCCTGTCTGAAGCCCGAGCACCTGCCGGCCTTTGCCCACGTCTGCTCGGACCCCAGAGCGCAGCACTACAGCCAGGTGGTGCAGACGCGGGCAGCGGGCCGGACCCACAGGACTAAGGTCCGGAATCAGCGCTACGCTGCCCTGAGGGCTCTGCAGAAGGGTACGGCCCCGGTGCTCCAGGCGCCGCTTTCAACGTGACCAATATGAGAAAGACTGGTCTTTTTTTGTCTGATCTCCCTCCCATCTGCTGGCCTGTGCTCTTAGAGGGGACGTACTTCAGTGAGGAGCAGATGCGGATCAGGGAGCCTCTGCTGTATGAACAGTATATCGGCCAGTACCTGACCGATGAGGAGGTGAGTTTTGCGTCCGAGTCCACAGCTTTGTTTTCCCTTATGGAGTTTTATGTCATTGTTTGTTTTTTGCAATGTTCAAGGTGCTGGAGCGCTCCCAGGAGGCCATGTTAGATGGTGGCGGTGAGGCTCCCGGGGGGGGCACGGGAGGGCTGGCACAGCTCCTCCTGAACTCCTACCAGGAGCGCCTGATCCAGCACCGCCTGCAGGAGGAGCAGGAGAGGGAGGACGGAGCCGAGGAGGAGGATGAGGAGGAGGAGGACGATGGTACGAGTGGGTCAAAAGATGTTTCCTCTTAACAGCGTTAGAGGGTTTTGTCCCGGTGAGGTCAGGTACTTCCCCTCTTCAAAGTCTGACTCTGGCTTTCCCTCGGTCTGTGCTGGCAGAGGTCCGGGTTCAGCAGAAGGACTGGGAGCCCACTCAGGAGGAGAAGGCCCTGCTCAGGGAGGAGTTCATCAGCCAGATGCACCAGCGCTTCCTGGATGGCAAGGACAAGGATTTCAACTACAGGTCGGCCACAGCTCCTTTTGCTCCATCAGCCTCATGAGAAGGGGGAACGAGTTAGGAGGGCTGCTTTTACTCTAAGGTCCATCTGAACTCACGGGCTGTGTTTTACAGTGAGGTGGACGGGAACCCCGACTACGACAACCTGGACATCGTCAGCAGAGACGCGGAGGATAGGTACTTTGACGAAGATGATGATGAAGAAGAGGAGGATGAGATGGAAGAAGAAAACATGACAGAATAGTGCCCTTTGTTATTAACACCTATCAGCGGATTTCTCTGTAAATACAAATGTACAAATTGAGAATACGTATCTTTTTTTCTTTCCACTCCAATTGACTTCTGCCTGAAAACTCTGAAATAAAAAGTTTGTCGTCCTTTTCTATTTTAAGTTCGACTTTTTGGGATAAAATGGAAACAAAGTGTCTCTGGAACTCCGTCACTCTCCGTGTAGTTTTCTGGACGTGGAAACCTCGTTTTGCTGCACAGGTTTAACTGCAAAGGTACATCTGGCATGTTGCTAATGGCCTCCGATAAGTCCCAAGGTGGATTTTTTTCTCTTTTCTAATACAGATAGTTTGCATTTCTGATTGAAGCCTTGAACATCCATCAGATGGTGGTCATTGTGTGTGTTTTGAGGCACAGCACTTTTTTTTTGTATCACAACCAGAGGAAGACTCATTCCCATAAATGCACATAGTCGTCATTGTTTTGTTTTGTTTTTTTTTAAACATAAAAAAGTTAAACAAAAAGGAAAGTCAACGAAAAGCATGGAATAACATGAGCTGAATCATCCTCAGATTGACCGTCAGTTTTTGCTTTCTTTTATGAAAAATAACAAAAGGAAAAGCAAGCTCAGTGTTTTTTAAACGTAGTTTAGTGTCTGATAATTAACTAAATGCTTTAAGCGATAAAAGTGACTTGAAATGCAGACAGACACATTCCTTTTTTTTGTTCTCATAGCTGCAGAACGTGGTTTTGGCGTCTTTTTAACACAAGCCCGTCCTTTTATGACGAAGGCCGTGCCATTTAAGAACAGGCACAAACTGGTAAAAGTTTAAACTTTCTTTTTCACTGAAGTGAAACTAAAAAAGCTCCCCTCTCTGTCAGCTTTTCCTCCGCCCTTCCACTAGCTCACTCAGTTTCTGTGTGTAATATTCCTCCTGTAGCTTTAAAACTCTCAGCTGCATTTTGAGCTTCTCTTTCTTCAGTTGTTGGAGGTCCATGGCATCCAACTCACAGTTGGCCGGCGGGTCCGAGGCCCGGCTGGGTCTGGATGTGCTGTAGAATAAGGGTTTTTTTTAAGCTATGGCAACTATTTGAAGCCTTGTTAGTGATCTAAGTGAAGTCTTACTGTGTTTCTGAGCTGGTGGCTCCCGGGTGAGCTTCCTCGTGGGGAGAGATGGTGGCATTCCTCCTGCTACTCCTCGGAGTTTTCGGGGAAGGGCCTGTAAAAAGACACACACAGATACGTATGCATACCAGCACAAAGATGGAGAGTCCCACCGGACCTTCGAAAGCTCCTCAAAACCAGCTGCAGCTGGTCTGACCACACTGACGAACACGAACATGGTGGCGACTCAAGTTTGTTTCCTCCCCGTCCCCCTGGCGTGTCTCCGTTTGGCAGGGACTCTCCTCGGTTCGCTTTCTTAGCGGCTCCTGTGGCCTCCGTGGTCAGCCGGTCACCCGGCCTGGAGCTGCCCTCCGCTGTGTCCTCCTCCAGGTCGATGGGCTGGCACCAGCTGCCTGTCCGTGTAGAAAAGTTGAAGCGTCACGTCTTCCTTTTAGGAATGGGGAGTTTTCACGTTGCCGGTGCTCACACACCTTGGGGCGGACACTCCCTGCTGCTGGACCGACATCTGCTGCTGCCCTGAGACACAGTTTGAGCTCGAGTTCAAGGAGAGCCTTCTCTGGTGGCAGCCATAATATGTCACACATTATTAGTAGCCTCTTTTAATCCAGTTTTTAATCCAACGGTTTAAAGATAAACGTTCCGCTTATCTAAGACTAACCCCACGAGTTGCTGGGACAGAAAGCCTTTTTAAAAACAGCTTTAAAAAGTTCCTCCATAGGGAACTTTCTCTCTGTGATTTGGCAGTACAACGTACCAAGGTGCAGCCCCGCAACAGAACCACAAAGTAACCACAAATAAAGGAGAGAAAACAGGAACATTTCTCTCGCTTGGCTCTCTTCTTACACCCACTTCCTGCTGCACAACTGACCACGCTTTTTCTCCTCTTTCTCCTTTCACTACGTGAACCTAAACTGTGCTCCAGGCTGCCAGTGGTTTTGACTAGACGTTATAGGTGCACATTCAGGGCCAGAATAGATTAGAGTTAAGATGACCCAACACACACTTACTGGTGAAAACGCGTAGAACTACTGTATTTGATGCATGACTGTATCAAATTTCTGTAAAAAGCAGCACTTAGTCCTACCATTCTAGGCTTCTCCGCGATACCTTTTCCCCCTCTCCTGTCTTTTGTGTGTGTCGCGTCTTTCCCAGGTCCTGAGGAAAGAACATTTCTGGTATCACGGTCTGAAAAAGTGTCACATTTGTGCAACCACAGACAGAAACAGGAAGCCCCTACCATCTAAACATGAATTGGAATGTTTACTTGGATGGTTCTTCTTGACGGAAATAGCACCTTTGACAGAGCCTCGGTCTTCAGGGTGATCTGCGGCTCCATCCACTTTAGGTGAGTCCGCCGCCTCCCCTTTATCTCCATTTGAGACACTCTCTGTCTCTTTGTGTTCTTCTCTGCTTGGAGGCCTGTCACTGTCTTCCCCAGTTCCCTCTGCGGGAGGGAACAGCAACAGAAGGCGGGGTTTTTCTCCTGAATCTCTTCACAGATTTGTGGGTTTCTAGCTAAAGCCTGAAGAACATGCAGACTAACCTCCAGAGAGGTCCTCCGGCGTGACGTTCAGCGATGGGATTTCCTTCTGCTGGGAGGATAAAGAAGAATAAATATTCTCTCTGGGGAGATGTTTGGTGTGTGTTTGACGCTCAGTTACCGTTTTTGTGCTTGGTAACTTTCTGTATCCTTTAGTCGACAGAAACCCGCTCTGTGGAAGTTATTTTGACAGTTTAAATATTTGTGGCTGGACATATAACCCCATATAAATAAATAAGGAATATAATGAAATTACCTCAAGCCAGAACATCAGAGGTTTGTTTTTGTAGGAAATAGAAGCCTTCCATTTTCTTGAAGAAGCCCTCCCCCCAATCTCCTCAAAGGCGGTTGGTGATAACATGCGGCCCTCACACTCGATACAGTCCTCTCCTAAAACCAAAAGTTCACATTGAGCAGGCGACACACATGAACACATGAAACGGAACATGCACAAAGGAAAGATGAAGAAGACTGGACTTCAGACAAAAAGAGCCACAAAACCATCTTTTTTGGTTTGTTACTTATGCAATTTTTCTTGAGGGATGTCAGCTGGACTTTTTGATTTGGAAACATTTCCCCTCTCAACCCAAAGGCTGCTCCAGTTCTAAACTACACTGTGGGGAGAAACAACTTGAAAGAGAGGAGGCATTTACATGTATCTACCTCCCCAACACCTACAATGAGGCATTGTTCCTCCTCCCAGGAGGTTTCACAGCCATTTATCACTTATCCTGCAATCTAAAGTCAGCGTTTCAGTCACTTAAACAATCCACAGATGAGAATGACTGTTGACTCTGACGGTGGCGACCCTCTGTGCCTCCTCCCCAAGAAGCCTTTAGGCTGTTGTGAAAGGCTTAGGGAATGGGGGGGGGGGGGAATTACTGCTTACCTTTGTCCAGCCTATCTGTAACCAGGATGCCCTTTTTGGTTCCGCAGGTCACCGGCAAGAGTCCTGGATTTGAAGAAAAAAAGCAAAAACTATGTTTAATGCTCAGCTCACTTAAGGTTCATAAAACAACTCTCCCAGAAGATGTTGCCGCTCAAATGAGGAGACAATGGTAAAGGATATAGTGCATGATAAGGCTAGGCTTTAAAGAATCATACTTCCTGGGGCCATCAGGTTTCGTTTTTCCTCTGCCTCATCGTCATCATCCTCCTCTTCCTCTTCTTTTTTGCTGCTGCTGTCAATATCTTCTGAGTCATCGTCTTCATTCATATGTTCCTTATCATCGTCGTTGTTTCCATCCTTGTTATCCAGAGTATATATGAGACTTTTTCTCTTCATCGGGCAACAACTTATACCATAACTCTTGTCTTCTTCCTCCTCTTCTTCAGCCTTCTTAGAACAGAAGGATCTTTTCCTTTTCCTCTTTTCCATGTAATCTTCTGTCCGAATTAAAGGTGTTCTTGCCCTCCACCTGCATTGCACCCTCAGAAAAGATAGAACAACAACAAATAAAGACATTTTGTTTATATTATTAGAAATCTAAAAAAGATACAACAATAGCTAATCAATCAGAAAAACAGAAAAGGTTTTTGATTATTGCTGGAAATTAATAAGCAATCAAAATTGAATTGCGATTGGAACCTCGAAACGCAAAAGGTGTAAAATTCGTATCAACAAAAAAACATTTGCATTTCTTTTTAAATCCCATGAAAAGTTATAGAAACTTGTTTTTAATTTAAGAATTAACATACAGCATACAATTCATATACTAAATTAATAGCTGTTACACACGGAAGGATTTGTCCAGAGCTTGATAAAATTGTAGGTACAAAAGAGATGTGCTACAACTTGGATCTTCTTTTCAATTAATTTTATTTTTTGCTATTTCTTTTTGTCTTCCTCCTCTCACCGCAAGAAATTACGAGTTGTCGGTGGCCATGGAAGGCAGCACCAGTGACGTAATGTATGCCGCCAAAAGAGGATTAAGTGTCGTGGTTACAAAGTTCTTTCGTTTTTTTAAGAGGACTTTTAAAAGTGATCTTGTATATAGAATAAGAAAGTTTGCAAACGGCTCACTGATGTACATCTGACCGTTTGCCTGATATCGTCAGATAAGAACCACAACAGTAACGCACACTTCGTATTGAGCGTATTGACCATTCGATAGCTAAGCGTGAAAACGTGGATAAGAAACAGCATCAATCTTTCTTCCATAGTTAAAAAATCAAATCAGTAAAATGTTTACCACTGCCATCCCTGAACGGAGAAATTAAACTAAAACTCCTCGGGACGGACGCCCCCACAATACTTGTTACTCTTCGTGAATAGGTTCTCAATCGTGCGAAAGAAAAAGGCGTAGAGGTTTTCTTGAACCCGCCTCCTCTGTTATTTGCATTTTTTCTCTTCGTTCTAGTCGTTTCTGAAGGTAGAGCCCGTTTCTCCGAGCTGCCTTTAATGCATCGCTGTTAACGGGAGTGTGCACGTGCCGACCGTTTTCGTTATGTTGTTGGTATCTTGGGGAGGAACTATCCCATTTCTATATTTCATACATATTCAAAAAAAAGTGATGAAGAGTTGGTCGAAGTAGACCAAAATTAATACCTTAAAAAAGTCTCCCTACGTAAGCTGAAGTCTTCTGTTTTAATTACATTAGCTAAATTATATCAATAACAAGATATGAATTTCGTTTAATTGACAACCACGTTAGCTATTGCTGTTAGCTTCACATACTCTGGATTTCATTATATCTAACTCACTTTTAAACTGATGACTGTCTTCCTGAGGATTCAAAGAGGATATAACAAGTAATAAAGCTGCAACAATCTTTTAAACTCACCACAACCGTTTATTTAAAGGAAAAGTTTGCCATTCGAATACATTTCAAGAAAGTGTAATCAGTTGATAATAAGAAATATCTTTAATTTGCATTAATTATGTATAAAATTTGGATCAAG